CAGGATTTTTTTGATGTGCACGCCCACGCCCCCCGCGGAGAGGTTCTGCAACCGTCGTTGTGCACGTCAAAAATATCCTGAGTACGTGTCAGACGGTCGAGACAGATTTGACAGTTGCATAGGCAATGCATCAGAAGTATAAATTGGCCTTTAATGTCAACAAATCATGACAGAAAGAATATTTTAGTACAAAGATTGATGTTTAAAAAAGAATTATAAAGGACCAGCCAAGGAAAGTGGGGAAATTTAAAATGGTAACTACTGGATTTCATTCTACCCATAAAACGGCTTTAAAAGAGCATTTTTTGTTTTCTTTTGATGGTTTCTGCCGCTGCAGCAGGCCTGAATCAGTGGATAACAATGGCTCCTTTATGTCACCTGATGTAATTGTTAGGTTTATTCAATAATGATTATAAAAGGAATGTGTGTGTGCTTATAAACATTGTAGAAAGGAGATGCTTCACTCTGTCTTATGATTCAGTCAAGAGGACAGCATCCCGTCTTATGACCCGATCAATTGTCCTGTCAGAACAATACTCTGTTTTGTAACCATGTGTCATGTTCTGTTAATAAAAGCGCTCTGCAGAGGAGGTCCGGGAGAGAGAGAGTAGTGTGTTGGGTGCGGCTCTCTTCTCCTTCTCCAGAAGCTATTTGAAAACCCCCTGTGTGTATTCAGTCCTTCTCTTTTACAAACCCTCATTTTTTAACCTAACAGTAATATCGATCAGTATATATCCGCAGTTAAAGATGCTATTTTTAGTGCTTAATTTCAACTTTTTTCTACAAACTGAGACACAATATTTCCATCTTTTTTCATGCTCGCTCTGGATTAGCTAATTCGTCACTGTCAAACGATTGGTGATATGTTTTCTAAAGGGAAGAGCTCTGCATTCGGCACTTAAGAATAATAATTTTCTACATCTGTTTACCTCCATTAAATGGAATAAAAGTCACATCTTCCATGTGGTTGGGTTTAGCTGCCAGCAGGTGAATATTAGCTGATTTTCAGTGTGAATAAATGTAGAAAACTCCTCACAGCCTTTGGATGGTTTTACTCTCACCTTTAGCTGTTTTTGCAGTTGTTAACATGTTAAGATCTGGCTTTTCACGGGGGACTACGTTGATCGGACAGCTGTGATATATTTCACTGTTTTCTGTTGACTTCCTGTCTTCCTCCTGAGATTTCTGCCTGGCTCTGACCTTTGTGTTCGGATCCGTTTTCCTCCTGCGTGCATGTTCAGATCTGTTTATCTGTTTGTTTCTGAGTGCGTGTGTGCGTTGTAGAACAGGGAAAAACAAATCACCCGCTGTAGTTCTCATTAGCAGCGGTTTGGTGTCAGCTCTGAGAGATCAGCTGTCAGCCGCTGCAGCTTCACCTTTTACAGACAATAATTACACCGTTAAACGGCAGCGCTTTTCCACTGGACACTCGGCCCGCTCAGATGGGCTCCGTTTGGTCTGGATGAAGGCAGAATGTAAAAAGTGTTTTGATTTTTCATTGTGTGCAGGAGACTGAGAGCAAAGCTTAAACAGATTCTGTTCAAATGATCTTTTTTAAAATTTGCAGAAAAACAGGACGAAAAATATACTTCAAAAAATAAGACATGCTTTTTTTTCTTCCTTTTGCAGTCAGGTTGGATTAAACTCGATAAATTCACAGAACAGAACTCTGGATATAGAAGCACAACAAGCTTCTGTGGACGTTTTGATGCACTGGATCAAGAAATAAGTAAAACATTTCTTGAATTAAGTGTATTAACTCCTAATTTGAGTAGGTTAATGAGATAATTAGATAATATGCACTTTAAATGAGACAATGAGATTGTGTTGTCTTATTTTAAAAATAAATAGTCATGTTCCATTGGCAAAGTGTCTCTTTTACCTCCTTAATCCAAGAACAATTGCACTTATTTTAAGAAAAAAGACAAACAAACTGATATTTCAGCATTAGTTTGAGATTTTAAAGGAAAAGTCCGGTCAGCAGGAATAATAAATGGATCATTATTTATACCTAAAACTAATACGTTTGCAGTGATTTAATGAATTTAGCGTAAAAAAATAAAAAACAATAATTTTCGTCACGATCACTGAGTCTGGGAGCGGCCATTTTTGCCCAAACATAGTAGCCCCTCCCTCCTGCCATCTTCCAGCAGTGACGTCTCGGTGCGGTAAGCCTAGCGCCATTCTCACAATTCTTACAAGCTAAATCAATGGGAACTACTAGACACATCTGCAATAAACAATTATTGAAGATTTCCAGAGGACTTCACCATTGAAATTCACCAGAGCTATAGTGAAACTGACAATGCCCACGTGCATGGCAGCTGGATGCTGGAATACATCGGGTAAAAGTGAAAAAAAGAGTTATTCCACCTTTCTGATTCCTGATCCTCCACGGACGGGTTGGTCGTTGGATCGCCAACTTGAAGAGGGAGGATTTGCCATCGAACTTCTGGCCAGAGAAAAAACCCGTAATATGTAGCCAACATTTGAAAGAAGAATGTTTTCAAGATGACTTGGATAATAGCGCGTTGTGACAAACACCAGATACAGCACTGGGACTTGATCAACAGCCGATACCGCACCGTGACGTCACCAACCAGTAGGTGGCAGTAGTGTTCTTTGACAAACATGGATGCCTCCAGTAAAGCACATTCACATGAAAATTACTCTGAATTAAAAACACTGATTATTTATTGAACAGGATGGAATCATTTCACATTTAAAGAACTTTCAGAAGTTTAAATTCTGAATATGAGCGACTTTTCTTTTAATAAAAAGATTTAATCTCCATCCTGGTTATAACTGCTGAAAGGGAATAATGATAAAAATAATAATTGAACTTTATTGATCTCAAATAAGGAAATCCACTCTCTGTATTTAACCCATCCCCTCAGGGAGCAGTGGGCTGCCATTGTGCGGCGCCCGGGGAGCTTTGTAGGGTTAAGGGTCTTGCTCAGGGACCCAGGGTGGAGGCAGTGGGAATCAAACCGGCCACTTACAATCTTCTCAGAGCACAATCGCTCTGCTCTAACCACTAGACCAACACTATGTGACCAAAAATGATTGATGAGACACAGATAGTTTGAAATAATCCACAGTTTTATTGAAGAGAATAATATTTGGCACTTTGTTTGCTCTTCTGTTAAATTCTGCATAAGATTCATTAAGAGGAAGAAACTTTTTTTTTTTGCATTTAATGCTACAACAAGTTATTCAGGTAAGAATAAAAATAACACTCAACTTTTCACAGGGTCACAGTCAGCGACACAATGCAACATTTACCATCAGTACGTTATTCATCAGTCTTTCTAACGTTTGTTTAAATCTGTGCTGCAGTTTTAGTAAACATGATATGATGCATATTTCATTTTTTCACACACAACAAAAACAATTTTGCTACCGCATTTGACACTTGCTACTGAGTTTTTGCATCAAACTCTGATATGTTTGGATGAAATGCATCAGCTGAGTTGAGCAGAGAGGGAAAACTTAAAGCTTTCATTGTTTCCTCTCTCAGCATCTTTCATGTGTTTAAATAAAATCGTCTGTAAAGAGAAAACTGAGCAGCGAACAGTCCAGTCTGTGTTTGCACAGATGCTCTTTAAAGATGGTTAGAATGACATGCATGATAAAATAAACCACAGAGAACCGGATAAATAAATGTTAAACAGAAGTGGTGACAGAGATTCAAGTATCTGCATGTTTGGACTAATTCCACTGAAAAATACTGCGTTAAAACATCAGTTATCAAGAATATAAAGGTATCGACCCATAGTTTAAGCAGCTAAATAACATTTTCTGTGTTTTTATTTGATTATTTTTTTCCTGCCTCTGCTGCCAAATAATTCAGCGTTTGCAGAGCATGCGTTAATTTGCTGTACACCTTGTTAGGGCTGCTTTTTCACAGATCTACCAATGAAAACTCGCCTTTTGGCTCCTTTTACTGCTGTACTGTCATGTAAATAATCAATTATTGTTTAATAATTAATTAAATTTACAATTAACATCAGAATAACATAATTATGGTAGAATTATCCTGCCATAATGCAAGAGCACATAATTTCAATTTGAGAAAAGAATTTCATCTTCTTGCACTCAAAACTTATAATGCTCACACTCAAAACATGCGCTCTCTCTCAAATATTTTCTCTTCTCTCTCAAATCTTTGTTTCTTCTCTCAGATTTAATGCTTCTTGCACAGATATTTTCTCCTCTCGCTTGCCTCCTTCTCTTCGCACGCAAACCGCGCTCTGCTCGAGTCTCAGATACGCTCGCAAACCCGTAGGCTCTGCTTGCAGATTTTTTTTTGCTCTCTCTCAGATTGGATCGAATCGTCGCCTAGCAACCTTTCCAGCCAATAGAACGACAGCCTGAAAAAGGGTGAGCTTGTTTAACCCTACTGAGTGTGCCTGTGATAAACCTTACCGACAATAAATTGGCTTTTTAATTTAAAAGCTTTTAAAATAAGAAGCTGAAAAACAACAACAATCTGCCTGTTGTTTTTCAGCTTCTTATTTTAATAGCTTTTAGATTAAGCCATTTTATTATCGATAAGGTTTATCACAGGCACACTCAGTAGGGTTAAACAAGCGCACCCTTTCTAAAGGCTGTCGTTCTATTGGCTGGACAGGTTGCTAGGCGACGATTAGACTGCAATCAGAGAGAGCAAAAAAAATCCGCAAGCAGAGCCTACGGGTTTGCGAGCATATCTGAGACTCGAGCAGAGCGCGGTTTGCGTGCGAAGAGAAGGAGGCAAGCGAGAGGAGAAAATATCTGTGCAAGAAGCATTAAATCTGAGAGAAGAAACAAAGATTTGAGAGAGAAGAGAAAATATTTGAGAGAGAGCGCATGTTTGGAGTGTGAGCATTATAAGTTTTGAGTGCAAGAAGATGAAATTCTTTTCTCAAATTGAAATGATGTGCTCTTGCATTATGGCAGGATAATTCTCCTATACATAATTATAAATGATATACTTGAATTTAGATGTTTTTTTTTTTATTGTCTTACCTACCTGCTACAACCAGGGGAAAATTACACTTATTTCAAGATAGACGGACTTATTCACATATGAAATGACTGTTGGATCATTATTGTTGCAACCAAAAATGCATTTTGTAAAGGAAAACTTTAGAAAAAATGAAATGAAACTTGAAAAATTTCATAGTTAACAAAGGTCTTAACTGTTTGCATAGATTTAATTTTTTTATTTACATTTTATCTTCTTTAATTTTGTTTTTACAGATGATTTATTTTCTACTTTTAAAATCTCTCTTTTTCAGATTGAGTTTTTATGAATTTCGTTCTTTTTAAAATGCAATTTTCCAAAAGTAAAATTTTAAAATGTAAAACCTGTAAAAAAAAAAAGTTTTTTTTTTTAAATAATAAAACATGAAAACCAAAACAAAGAATAAAAGTTACTCTTCAAATCTTCTGATTAGGAAATTTTTCCTTTTATAAAGCAGCTTCTTTACTTTGCAACAATAATGGGACAACATTCCCTCCGTACTTTGAGTCTTTTCAGTTTTAGTAGTTCGGCTCAAAAGCTGGGAAAAATAAGAAAAAACCAAAATATCCTGTTAAACATTAAACCGATATTCTGTTCATTTAAGCAAACTAAAGGAAAGATATGAAGTTGGCACGGCTTGAAACAGGACTTCCTGCTGCTAAAGTGTTTTTAGTGTTTGTCCTCCAGGAGACGACGTCTACCAGCCGTCCACCTCCACCACGAAGGGCTCCTTCACCGGGATCCTGCCACTGTTCACGATGACGCACTCGGTGTACGGCAGGTTTCTGTCGTTGGTGTCCTGCAGCTCGATGGTGTGAACCACGGCCTGCCCACAGACAAACACCTGCAGGTTAGAGCCTCAAACGCAGACATAAAGCAAACCAACAGTTAGAAAAAATAGAATAAAAACTAGATTTATTTTCCAACATTTATGGAACTTCCTTCCTTGTTTGATTAATTTCAACACATAAAGCCTCATTTTGTTTTGTTCTTTGTTTTTTCTGATCAGCTCATCGGTCCTCATGATAATATAGATATATAAGTCATTCTTTTCTTAAAATAAGTGAATTTTTCCAACGGAACAAGACAATTTACACTTAAAATAAGAAAATAATATCACATTGTCCTATTTCAAGTGCATTTTTATCTAATTATCTTCTTTTAAGAGTAAAAATACTCACTCCATTGGCAAACTATTTCATTTACATACTCAAATGAACAATAAATCCACTTAATTTAAGAAATGTTTACTTATTTCTAGATAGTTTTTCCAGTCTGTAGTCACAGACAGCAGGTTCAACCCACCATCCCGTCCAGAACTTTGCCGAAGACCACGTGTTTCCCATCCAGCCACGGCGCTTTGGTGGACAGGATGAAGAACTGCGACCCGTTGGTGTCCGGCCCAGCGTTGGCCATACTCACCTGGTACCAACACACACGTTATCCAGGTGTTAGAGGTGAATATGTGAACAGAAACAAATCAAAACTCCTCCAGAAACATTTTCCTCCAGCTTGATGGCTGCTTACCCAGCTGGCTCCTATGTGCTTCAGTTTGAAGTTTTCATCTGCAAACGTCGTCCCATAGATGCTGTGACCTGGACAGAGACAGAGGCCGGACATGAGGATTCAATTAAATTCAGTTTATACACTGCAAAAAATGATCTAGATTTCTAAAATTAAGTGTATTAACCGATAATTTGAGTAGATAAATGAGATGATTTGCCAATGAAACTATTATTTCTACTCTTAAAATAAGATAATTAGATAATATGAACTTGAAATAAGACAATGCAGTTTTGTTCTCATTTTAAATATAAATTGCTTTGTTCTATTGGCAAATGTTCACACTTACCTCTTAAATTGAGGAAAAAATTAACTTATTTTAAGAAAAAAGGACTTATTGAGATTAAATTTTTTTCCAGTCATCTCAAAGCACTTTATAATTCAACCAGACCATCCAGTCAGATTGATTCAAAGTTTTCTATCTAAGGAAAACACGCTGATTGCATCGACTCATTGACTCTTCAGCAATCCCTCACACTAAGCATGCTTGTAGCGACAGTGGAGAGGAAAAACTCCCTTTGAACAGGAAGAAACCTCCAGCAGAACCAGGCTCAGTGTGAGCGGCCATCTGCTGAGGCCCACTGGGGTTCAAGGAGACAGAAGCAGACATAGAAAAAGCAGCATAGATACAAAAGGCAACCAGCTCCACAGGCGGAGGAGCAAAGGTTTACATTTTTAAATGTCCAAAGTGTGTAAAAGATTATCCCATTTTTATCAGACTATATTAACATTAATAGAAAGATAACAGTTGGATTTTATTATTTTTTTCCCCCTTACCTCCGGTTCCGTCTCCAGCTGTGAAATCTCCTCCTTGGATCATAAAGTCCTTGATGACTCTGTGAAACTTTGTCCCCCTGTAGCCGTAACCTTTCTGCAGAGATGAAGTTGACAGTTAGCTGCCAGGAGTCAGAGAGAAAAACACGTCTAAGGCTCCATAAGAGGAAATAACTCTGGGCTCAAAGTTGGAAAAAGCAGAAGAAAAGGGCCTAATAAGGCAGAATTTGATGCAATAAGAGTTTTTACTCAGTAACAAATTAGCTTCTATGTTTTCAGCCTAAAACAGATTTTTTTTCTCCAAAGAAAAGGTTTGTAACCCATCTGTCACAACCAGACATTCTGGTTGAGGTTCACAGGAAACCTAAACTCATGTCATGTCTGTTAAAGTTGCAGAAACACCCTGATCATTCTATACAGAGATGACAGTCACCTAGAGAAGCTTTTATTGATCATTTTATGTTCATTATTGCCATTAATGGTTAATTACTTCTCCAAGGCTCCATAGGATAACCTGTCAGACAACACTGAGGGTTTAGGAGTCATAACATGCTGCCAAGGATAGAAAAACTAAACATGTTTAAAAGCTTCAGACCCTTATTGTTTTTGAAAAGTCTAAAAACGTTATTATGTCTTTTATTCTCAGTAGGAATTATTTTTAAATAGCAAAATAAAATTTAGATCAACGGAAGAAAACGACAGAAAAAAGATCAATACACCTATTAGAGATGCCAGTAATTGAATAACTAATGAATATAAAGTTGATTGATCTTATCGATGGATAAATGATTAACTGACGACCTGCAATTTTATTTAAAAACCTCAGTTTTCTCGTTTCAATATGCTGAATTTTAAAGACTTCCTCGTTTATTTAAGCTATTTATGACTGAATAAATAAATACATTTTATTATTCATTATAAAAATCATTTATAAGATATAAAAAAACAGGAAACTATTAGGAAACTGTTTTAAAAAGTTTAAAAATCAATCTACTGGACTTTGTTTCCAAGTTTGAAGACGTTTCTCTTCCCATCCAGGAAGCGTTTTAAATTCAAAATGTCAGAAATAGTGTTGAGTTCCAGGTTTTACTGTTGGGTTGCTGTTTAAAGCCTGGAACTAAACGCTATTTCTGACATTTTGGATTGAAAAAGTTTCCTGGATGGAAGAGAAACGTCTTAGAACTTAAAAATAAAGTCCAGTGGATTGATTTTTAACTTTTCTGGGAATGACTATGACCTGGATGACTGACAATCTTCACCAGCTATTAGGAAACAGTGTCCAAAAACATGAATAAAATGTGAAACATAATTTCCGACGTACTGAGATAAAAGATGTCGCTTTGATAAACTGTCAGACTATCTGCGAACTCTAACGGAGACATAGCTCTCTCTCTACGAGAGACTTGGTGCTTTTAACGAAGCTATTAAACAGGTGTTTCTGGTTTTGGTTTTTCTCTGAGGATTATTAAAACTTGGCTCTATATCATTAACTAAAGCCCGACATACACTGTACAATATTTTCAATCCTTGCACACAAACGCAGCTCAAACTAAACGATGAAATCGCAGAGTTTAAAAGTTCACAATTCACAATATTAAGGAAAATATTCAATGCTCGATACCATTTTCGATACCAAAAGGATAAAAACAAAGACTCCAAAATTCTACAGAAATATTTTCATTAATAAATAAAATACAATAAATAAATACAATAAAGCGTGTATGCTGTGAAAAAAAAAACTTATAAAACTAGAATTAAGTGTTCCTTCCTTGGCTTTGCACACATAACAATGACGCTAGCCAAACTGGTTAAGAAACAAAAATAATTCTCAGCAGCTGCACCTTTTACGAAAAAGTGTGAAACTGAAAAGTGCGTAGAATTATTCAATCACACACTTTTTTGAGTATCGATACTTTTGACAACCCTACTACCTGCTCACAATATACGTTCCAAAAACCACCAGTCAGACTCCAAGAGATGGCGCTGGTCGAACTTGTCAATCTGGAAGAAGAAGAACTTCCTTGTTTGCACATGCTCAGTGCTTCGAGGTTCTGGTAAATCAGCTCTTAGCTCTGCTTCAACAGCAGGAAGTGCCCACCACCACCTTAGAAAGCCGACTGAATTTCAAACATGTCCGATTTTCTTCGACCTTACGATTCCTTATGCGTAGGTGGTCGTTAGAGGCTGATCGCCCCTCGTTACCCCGTGTATAGGCTGAAACTTGGCTCATCAACTGGAGAATCGGCCCGAAAAGGGCAAAAACCCCTAAAGCGTTTGCCCGGAGTTCTGTCAGACCAGCATACCCATAGTCAATACCCGCTTACCCCTTTAGCTTTGTATGAAAAATATACTTTAAACTACCTCAACGGGCGTGTTTCCCTTTCGTCATGTACAGAAAACAATATAATTACTTACTTTTTTAAGCGTATGGCAATCTGACCTTAAATTGCTTTTATTTGTACATGGCTAAAGGGATTCACGCCCGTTGAGGTAGTTTAAAGTCTATTTTTGTACAAATCTAAAGGGATAAATGCAAATCTGACGTCTTGCGGATGCGTATTGATTATAGGTATGCTGATCTGACAGAACACCGGCTTAACTAAATCCTTCTCCATCTGTCTTTTTCTATCATGTTCCAAATGTTTAGCGTAATGCCCTCCACTTCTCTATCACCAAATCCTCCCTTTCTGAGTTCAGCTTCTGAACTAGCTGCCTTTTGAGATGTTGCGCTGCTCCTCCATGCAGCGCGGCTGAATGGGCCTGTTTAGAACAAGGCGTTTATCCAGAGTTTATATTTAACAAACTGAACTACAGAACCTTAATCCTGGATCCTTGGAGCGAGTTAATAAGGGAGATAATCCTGGACTAGACTCCAGATCCATGTTAGCATGCCCACGCTCTGGCATTATATAAACCAGTAAAGCTCTGCCTCAGAATTAACCGAGGCGGCCTCTAGTGGACGGCTAAGGTTACAGCACTGTAAAAAGTTTCTTCTAAACAACGTTATCAGTGAATTGGATTCAAATAAACAATAATATAATCCATCAAACTACAGTTAATCGTAAATTTATTTTTTTAACGTCCCTAAAATTGATCATTAATCTTCTACACAAGCATGTTTTCCTATAAAAATACAATTATTGTTATAGATAATCACGCTTTTCCTACTGTGCATTATTAACATGGATTCGCAGGCTGTGCCGTGTTAATGTACCTCTCCTGTTGCCAAGGCGACAAAGTTGTTGACAGTAAGAGGGACGACCTCTCCAAACAGACCGATGACGATGCGGCCCACCTCGTGACCTCCCACTGTGATGTCGAAAAACACCTGGAGACAGAAAACATGGAGGCGGCGTCTGCATCTCCGTTTACTGACAAACAAAGATCTGAGAGAAAATCAGGAAAATTAACATCGTTTAAACGGATCTTTTAGGTTTTTACTGGTCGTTTATGATGGAAACTGTTCCTATAGGCCTTAGAGCTATCCCACAGACCACCAGCAGGGATTTAGACTCCGCCCACTTTTTTAAATGTAGGATATTCCAGTAAAACATAATAAGAATGAAAAATTTCAACTTGAATTTAATCTAATTAATTAGTCTTTATTAAATCATCACAAACAACAAAACCTCCCTAAAGCAGTTATCTGTCCTAAACAATTTAGATTTTAAAAACAAATATTTTGAATATTTTCATGTGTAATTTTCCATTTTTATTATAAAATAAATAAGCCTCTATAAGCCTGAAACTCAACGCTATTTCTGACATTGTGAATTGAAAAAGCTTCCTGGATGAAAAGTGTCTTTAAACTTGGAAGCAAAGTCCAGTGGATCGATTTTAAACTTTTTTGGGAAAAAGTGAAGATTTTTATAATTCAGGAAATAGAGACAAAAATGAACAGAAAGATTAATCAAAAGTTAAAAACTGATGTTTTACTGTGTTGGTTGTTTCTTTAGGTAACTAATATGCAAATATTTGAAAAAGGATGATAAATTAGAAGGTTGAAAGTTCCTGGTTTGATCCGAACTCTGGGTCCCTGAGCAGGAACTTTTTTTTAAAACATGTTTTTTTTTCTCCCACACTCATTACATCTGATCACTGCAGCACTTTAAGATGTGGAAATGTCATGAAAACACACACTCTGCGTGTCCAAAATGACAAAAGTTGTCTAAGTGTAAGTAAGGCTCTTAAAGCCGAGCAGATCATGAATTATATCAGAAGGAGTTTTGGATTTAAAGGGAAGTGAAATCTGTTCTGTGTCTCAAAACCAGTTCGTTTTTAAAAATACTTTGAGACAAAAACAGATTTCTTTAAAAAAACGATTTAAAAAGAAATTTTTGTACGTAAGCTTGCATGCAGGACCGGGCAAACACTGTACGATTTTTTCAATCGTTGCACGCAGCTACAGCTCACACTATACAACGAAACCACAGGGTTTAAAAGTTCACAGCTCACGATGTTTGTTCTCACGCTGTGCGACCCGACGCTCTGATGCGATCTACCTGCTCGCACTGTATGCCTAAAAACCAGGTGGGACTCAGCTCCGCAGTGAGATGGCGCTACTCGGACTCATCTATCCAGAAGCCAAACCAGTAGAAGAAGAATATGAATCTGACTAAAGTGAAACGCGCTGCCTTGGATATTTGACCAATTTAGTGCTGAAAGCCCTAAAAAGAAAAGGAGACGACGTATTTGGACAAAGACATGGCTGAGCAAACGTGGCTACTACAGTCTGTCAGTTTTCCAGAAAGAACTCCATTTCACTCATTGCACCCCCACCATGCTGCTGGGCTTACATCTGAGAGGAAGAAGAAGAAGAATCCTTGTTTTTGCCCACTGAGCCATTTGCCCACGACCACCTTACGACGGCCGACTGAATTTCAAACATGTTTGATTTTCTCCCGACTTTAAGATTCCTGATGGGGAGGCGGTCGTTAGCGGCTGATTGCCCCTCGTTACCCCCTGTACACTACACAACGTAAATCAGGCTTAAAGTTGGTCCGATCAAAAAATTCCCGCACAAGTGTAAGTCTGTCTTTATGTATTAATTTTTTTAAGTCTAAAAAAAAAGGTGAGCAAAATTTATGGCCCAAATTTAACTCCATACAGCCCATCTCCAGGGGTCATGGAGCAGCAGGTTGAGTACACCATCACAGCTCTCTAGTCCATCTCAGAGACACGTACTCCAACATGAGCCCAACAGTTATGCTTGTTGACCGTGGGAGGAAGCTAGAGTACCCAGAGAGAGCACGGCTATGCCCCGGAGAACCTGCTAACTCCAGCAATACCAGCAGCTTTACCACGCAGCCTGGCTGGGAGGAGACCCGGGTTATCATGTCCACATATGGAGTAATGATGATGATGATGTGAGATCCCATCATGGTCACCAGTTCTCTATCTGGATGAACCTGCTGAGATCAGACTGTCTGGTTTTCATTACTTTAAGTCAGTTTCTTCCACTTTTTTTATGTCTGGCTTAACCCCAGACTGCTCCCTGGGTGCCGCACAATGGCAGCCCACTGCTCCCCCAGGGGATGGGTTAGATGCAGACAAAGCATTTTTCCATTTTGTGAAAATAAAGGATTTAATTTACATCTAAATCACATCTGACATGACAGCGAACCTTACAGACCAAACTTCCTCCATATTCTGAGGATCAGTTCATTTAAAAACATTTCCTAACCTCTCATTAATTCTATATTTGCTCACATGGGGGGACCTGGTGTGGGTCCCAGCCCAGGGGCCCCATCCTCCTGAGTTCAGCCCTGTCTGCTGGTTTAATCCCAGTTTAGGTCTGGAGTCGGTTTGCTTCTCTGCATAATCTGGATCAGTTCATTGACCCGTTCCTTCCTGCAGAGGCTCCATGCTCCTTCATACAGATCAGCGGTGTGCGCGTGGACGCCCTGCGGGCAGACGCAGTGCGCATTGGGTCTAATCTGGAAGGACACGTGTACAGCTGGGTGTCTGTGAGCGTGGGCAGCGCCAGATGTTCTGGAAGGATCCGCAGATCCACGCGGAGTCTCTCCTACATGTTCGCTTCCGTCGCTGCAGATGCGGGACGTCCGCTTCACCTGTGTGCGCGCGCGCCATCCTGTGCGCGTGTGCATTTGGCAATACGGAGCACCCGCGGGCACGCGCGGCTCAGCCGTGCGTTAAAACCGTGAGCGGATGCGGGATAATAAAACCATCACCAACCTTCTCGGTGACCTTCGGTCCCCGCCGTGAAAACGCGCCGGACACCGACTGCAGGCAGGCGGCGGAGAGGCAGAGCAGAGCCGGGAGGACGGAGCGGAGCTCCATGGTTCCACCAGTGGAGAGGAAACACGGAGAGGAGCAGGAGGAGGAGGAGATCCCAACACGGACCCCCCCTCCCCCCCGACACACACACACCGGATTAAAGAACCGCCCATTTAGGAGAAGAAATATTATGAAACATTTCTATTATAATTAATAATATATCTTCATTATACCCTAACTACTTCATAATAGAGAGATATCATATATTATGACGTAGTTCCCTTCTATAATTACATCTCCACCATAATAATAACCTAATGTCTCATTATTATTATAATTAAAAACCATCTTAAGGTATTGAAATATCTAAACAATTTTATTTTCATTTCTATTTTCCAGATATTTGCTTCATTAATCTTCTCAGATGCTTCATGATTTTTTGTTTGCAGGAAAACAACAAAGAAATGATTTCTGTGTTCAGTCAGTTGGACATGAACAAAAACAGCTTTCCTTATATTATTCATTACATTTATTAATGAAAGCTGTTCCTGATGGGAAAGTCAAGAGAACAACAAACAGATCTTCATCTTTCATTCATTTTCTTTAACTGCTTATCCTTGCAGGGGGTCTGGGGGGCCAAGGGCCCATGCAGCTACTATGGGGCCATAACGTTTATTCAAGACAATTGTTTTTGAAATTTAAAAAAATTCGATTTCCAAAAAATATATGTATATAATAAAATTTGAAAATTGAAAAATGTTCTAAACTCATTTTCAGATTTATATATATATTTTTTTTACTTTCAAACTGCCCCCCTTGGCGTAGGAGGCGGGTCTTAGATGAGGCGATGTAGAATATTGACTCCCAACTATGATGACTGGGCATAAGTATTCCGTCTGAAACTTTTATAAAAATGTTGCTGAATAAAATCTTTTTTCAGTTTTATGTATTAATTTTTTTAGGTCAAAATTTATGGCCCAAATTTAACTCCATACAGCCCATCTCCAGGGGTCATGGAGCAGCAGGTTGAGTACACCATCACAGCTCTCTAGTCCATCGCAGAGACACATACTCCAACATGAGCCCAACAGTTATGCTTGTTGACCGTGGGAGGAAGCTAGAGTACCCAGAGAGAGCACGGCTATGCCCCGGAGAACCTGCTAACTCCAGCAATACCAGCAGCTTTACCACGCAGCCTGGCTGGGAGGAGACCCGGGTTATCATGTCCACATATGGAGTAATGATGATGATGATGATGATGATGATGTGAGATCCCATCATTGTCCCCACTTCTCTGTCATGATAAACCTGCTGAGATCAGACTGTCTGGTTTTCCTCACTTTGTTTAAGTCAGTTTTTGTTTAAGCTGCTTAACTTATATTTATTCTAATTTATCCGCTCATCCTTTTCCATCAGACACATAATGTGCTGCAAATGTTAAATATCCTAAAATATAATAAATAATGTATATTTGGTCCCTATTAGTCCCAGTAGAACCACCAACAATCCGGTCCAAGTTCAATGTTAACATTTCTGAAAACGCCACCTAGTGGCCAGAATAGGTATGGCTGCATTTGAACCTTTCTTCTCTGGTTTATTTATTTATTTTTTAGCCAAAACATTGAAATGATTCCCAGTAGCTGTTCAGGCTGTTTATGCAGCGCGGTTCTGTCCTCTGAGGCTCAGGCCTCCCAAACATCCTCGTCCTTAAATTCGGCTCCTGTTTTTTTAAGTCAGAGCCAAATAGAAATCCTCCACTAATGATCTCTGGTGCCTTTTCTTCCACTGATTAAATGCATCCACATCGTTAAAGGCTTCAGGTCCTGATGCTGCAGCTTGAGGAAGCAAATTATTGGTGATATCAGCTTTTTATCCAAGTCTGTTTACAGATATTTCATAACTGAACCACTAAATAATAATGCTTTAGTGTTTCTACGTGTTAGAGAACAAAAAAAAGAAAGCAATATTAAAAAACATCCTTTTCCGGCAGTGTCTTGTTCTGCTGTAAACCAGAATGATTAACTGAATATGGAATGGAGAAAAAAATAAAGCCTGCAGCTCAACATCTTTTAATTTTCTTTCCTGACTGACAAATAAATGCATTTTTCAGTGTGATCAATATTCATCTGCTGTTTTTTATACATTAAAGGGAAGAATAATGAGGTCCATCCGGCTGAGTGTTGTTCAGCTTCAGCAGCCTTTACTGCATCAGAAACAGCTCGGCTTCAGCTGCAGGAAATAAAGCTGAAAAAGAGAATATAAGTCCCTGATGAATACACGTCTGTAGAGATGAATTATAATAGTCAGCCTGCCGTGACCTTAACACACACACACACCCTCAGAGTTATCGGCCTCCTGTCAGAGAAGCCCGTCCATTCGTCTTTTCCTGCCGCCGTTCTCCAAATTAATTAAGCAGAAATGTAAACATTTTAATTGAATGTCAAAGCAGGACCTTAACAACATCCTCCTATGTAAATGAATGTGGCTCAGCGTTAACCGCAGCCGGGTTACAGGGTGTGTGTGTGTTCTTTGGCTGCAGAGAGCAAATGTTTTCACTGAATTAACGTCACTTCTGCTCCAACCAACCCTCATGGATTTAAACCAATAAGGCTTCAATTAACCTGCAGTGAAAGAAAGAAAGTCTGTGAAGTTCCTCCTAACGGCCTCTAGCCGCATGAATCACCTGCAAACTACCCCTGCTCACCCAGTCAGGATTTCTGTTAGTTTGTTAGATGGAGAAAATCAAAAAGGAATCTGCAGGAATTGTGAACCATTCTTCTTCCCATAGATGCTTCTGTGGAGAAACTTAAATCCTGGAAGGCTGTAAATCCAGACAGATGGGCTGAAGCAGAACAAGCTTCCTGATGGGTTTACAGTTTATGATGCGGAGTTCAACCATGAAGGGTAGAAAAAAACAGGCAGGACATGAGAGAAACAGGCTGAGCCCAGGAGAAAAACAGGCTGAAAACTTATGAAAAAAAGGCTGAGTACAGTGGAAAAACAGGCTGAGAACAGGTGAAAAAAAGGTTGAGAACAACTGAAAAACAGTGAGAACAGGTGAAAACTACGCTGAGCACGGGTGAAAACAGGCTGAGAACAGGTGAAAAACAGTTTGAGAACAGGTGAAAAACAGTGAGAACAGGTGAAAACTACGCTGAGCACGGGTGAAAACAGGCTGAGAACAGGTGAAAAACAGGTTGAGAAAAGGTGAAAAACAGTGAGAACAGGTGAAAACTAGACTGAGCACAGGGGAAAAACAGGTTGAAAACATGTGAAACACAGTGAGAACAGGTGAAAACTAGACTGAGCACAGGGGAAAAACAGGTTGAAAACAGGTGAAAAACAGTGAGAACAGGTGAAAACTAGACTGAGCACAGGGGAAAAACAGGCTGAGAACAGGTGAAAACTAGACTGAGCACAGGGGAAAAACAGGCTGAGAACAGGTGTGAAAACTAGACTGAGCACAGGGGAAAAACAGGCTGAGAACAGGTGAAAACTAGACTGAGCACAGGGGAAAACAGGCTGAGAACAGGTGAAAACTAGACTGAGCACAGGGGAAAAACAGTCTGAGAACAGGTGAAAACAGGTTGAGAACATGTGGGAAAAATAGGCTGAGAACAGGTGAAACACAGGCTTAGAACACTTTTTTTCATAATTCTTTTGTTAATTATTTGGTAATTTTGAGTAAAACTGACTGAATGTTACTAAAGTTGTTGAAAGTGTCGAATTAAAACCTTTGTTCTGATTTTTTTCTCCTCCAGCTGATGGATTCCATTATATTTGTCTGGAAAGTGGTGATGTCATATTTAACATTTATGCTGAATTAAGGAAACTTTGATTCCTCAACAGTAACTCAGATTTTCTCTGAAAATTGTTTTTCTTTTTCAATCAAAAAATAAATTTTCTCTAAATAAAAATTAAGCCGCAATAAGACTTAGACTTAAATACCTGATCTGCATAAATGTGTCTTTTAATGAACTCTGGTGATTTAAATGAGATCATAAACCAAGCAGTGAAGCTTCTGCATGTTTCATTTCTAGGCCTTCCTGCTGATGTTGAAGCCGTCAGAGAAAATAAAGCTAGAAATGCTCCATTTATTGATAAATCCTCTGATGTTTGGCTGTCAGCCTTTAGTCTCTGACTACTTCCTGCTTTCTTCTTTATAAAGTTGTATTTCCTGGTTCCTTTTAATCTGCAGTCTCCTCACACACAGCAACACAAAGCTTCGCTAAATAAACTCTTGTTAATAATACCTTGTTTTCTTTCCTGCAGCCGTCTAAATAATTAGCTTTTGTTGTAGAAAATGATGAATTTGGGCAGTTAATTTATTGATCGGCCGGCGCCTTTCGATGCTCTCCACCTTAGAAAGTCATTAATCAATGGATGAAAACACCTAATTCTGCTCCTGCTCTGCTTTCCTCCCTCCTCTCCTCGTCTCCTCCTGGTTTTCAGTCCGGATCCCCTGCGACCGCAGAGAGAGAAATTATGATTTGACCTGAAAATGATGATAAAGACAGAGAAAAAATCTAATTCAGGAGAAAACAGTCTGCAGTTTTCAGCTCACACTGATTAAACCCTCCATGATTGTTCCTAATAAAGCAACCAGGAAAATATTTCATAGCATGAAGTAATTGTTTGGAATCCCTCTTGTTTGGTGTGACCGTGTTCACCAGGGGTTCACCCTAACACTGCAAAAATTACATTATGAGTAAGTCCATTTATTTTAAGATGCGTGTATTTTCCCTTAATTGAGCAGGTGAGACAATTGGTCAACTGGAATTAAATTATTTATTTGAAATTAAAAAAAAAAAAACTACTCCATATCATATTTTAAATGCATAATATCTAATTATCTAGTTTTTAGGGGCAAAGACTGATTCTATTAGCAGATCATCTTATTTACCTGCTCACATTAAAGGCTAAAACACAGATATGGGGAGAACAGGCTGAGAACTGGAGAAAACAGGCTGAGAACTGGAGAAAACAGGCTGAGAATAGGAGAAAAGGGGCTGAGAACAGGAGAAAACAGGCTGAGAACAGGAGAAAACAGGCTGAGAATAGGAGAAAACAGGCTGAGAACTGGAGAAAACAGGCTGAGAATAGGAGAAA